CCTTTGAATGAGACAGCAGAAAATTACTAAACAAGTACACTAAAGCCCTCAGGTCCTCTATAGCAGTATGTTGTACCATTGTACAGTGATGATATATTACAAAAGTGTTGGGTCTTAGAGTTATTGTGTTTTGCAGCATGAATTCCTAAGCCACACCTAAGCTGTCCAGTGCAACTATTCTATAGCACTTGCACAGTCCATGTATCCTATTATGATAATTTTATAATCATATGATGAACATATCAGATGAGGGTGGGGAACTAATTTCCATTCTAAGAGTAATGCCATGTCCTAAAACTAGATCTTTTTTTAACTAATTATTATTTCTAGGGGTACTGTTCAAGAAACTACCTGAATTTTTAAGTTGATCTTCCGTACATATCGAAACGTGGGTATTTCAAGATGAATACAAGAAAGCTCATACTTTGCCAATATATTTAAAAGTTCAGTGGAATGACACTAGGATTGATATCCTTCTCAGCCTGACATCAATCCAGTGTAAAACACTGCAGTTGCAAATTCCAGACACTATTCATAAAGAATCAGAGGAAAGATATGCAATTCATGCTAGTCAGGATGGAATTAAGGAAAACATATTTTATTTTAAATACTGTTGATGTAATACTCAGAAACTTTGGTAGAACTTCTGGCACCAAACAGAATTTTGATTAAGAGTTATCTAAAGTCATCACTGTAATTATTTAATAGATTAAACACTGAGCACTTGACATTTCTCAGAAACCATTATAAATAGGGACGCATCATCAAGAGGACGTCAGTCAGCTCTTCAGGGTCACTCCTGGGCTCTATGCTGAGTTAGTACAATTCCATGATGACTTTTCCATTACTTCATCTTTCAGGATTCACATCATGACTATAGGCATGTCAGTATTTTGATTGTGTATTTTTATGGAAGCACAAACAGCTGATGTACGAGGTCAGATCAGAGATTCTTTTGCTTAGGACATACTGAAATCAAGTCTGAAGTGATTTGTTCACAGACAAATATCCTCTGATTTGCTTCACTGAAGTTTGTTAGACCACATCCTAACAGTGTTATACAAACTGTGGATTAGAGTGAAGCCAAAGAGTGTATGTTTGTCACATCCTGTTTGGATGATACCAACATAGACACAAACAGAACAAGCAGATTTTGGCATGAAATGAAAGGCATTTTATTTAATCTCACAGTTCAAGAACATGCCAGTTATCACATGGACCAAATAATTTAATTCTGTATTTTGCCCTGAAAACAGATTGAATAGCCTTGCAAAAAGTGATTTTGAAGACAATCTTTACGTTTATAAGGTATGCTTTTCAACAGAGTATATTTGCAGGAAATAAGATTTTTTTTCTACCTGCTTTATTTTAAAACTTCTTGGGATATAAAAGCTTTCTGCTCAGTCATTAGTTGTCAGTTGCAGAATGAAGCAGTACCCTACAGCATTTCCAGATGAAGTAGTCTGTTTATACAGAAAGTGCAAGAGCTGTAATTACTACATGATCGCATTTGTGTATCAAGGTCAGAATTCCGTGATTCATGCTATTGTTTGGACATAAAGGGAGTTGATTTTCAGCTTGGTGGTGTACAACTACTATTATTGTTACATCAAGGACTGTAGAAACAATATTAACTTTTGGTTGTTTGAGGTTTTCTGGTCAGGTTAACTCCAGTTCAGGCATAGATGGAAACTGGCTGTTTAATGTTTGTCCTGAAACCTTCATTAGACATGCAAAATAGATATTTATATTGTTGCTGTTCAGGTTATGTATTCTATTATGAAAGAAGAAAAAATAATCCTCCAAAACAAACTAAAATAGGTAATGAAATGACTTATGCATGAAATCATAGAGTTTAAGCAGTATCAAATGCAGGGAATTAAAGAGGATGAAAATATTTCCTGATCTTTTCCCCTCTTCTGAAAAATCTCTGCATGAGATTTTCTTCTTGACTGTTATCTAATATATTGACAATTTTTATATTCCCTAACTGAGAAGCCACTGGCTTTCCACAATATTTAATGAGTTATAAAAGCTTAAATATATAGGAATTCAACTCATTATACTTACTAGTTAAGAGCTAGGATTATTCAAGCACTTAAGATTGTGAATTTGATATGATTGCACATATTTATAATCAGGTACAACAACAAATGCTTTCTCATCTGAGGACTAATAGAACCTGCTACTGTATTATTGTATTGTATGTATGCATTGTGTTTTATTGAATTGTCACCCAGCTGCTATTAATGTCACCCTCTTCTCAGTTAGACCTTGCTTAAGCCTCAACTAGTCTTCCTCTCTTTGGGTGCAGGCGTCCCTAGCTAAAAAGCAATCATATTTGTCTAGGTTTTGATTGTTCTCTATCTATTCTGGGATTTTACATCTCCTATTCACTCCCTGCTCCCACTCACATACTGTCATATATAAGGACTTTACATAAATATGATAGTGTTGCCCTCACATTGCCCTGGACAGCTGGGAAGCACTGTTTTTCTTTCAGGTTTTGGGGGGGGGGGGGGGGGGCTGTGTGTGTGTGAAACAGAGTCAAGATGCCATCTTCACACAGCCTGAATTCTATTATCGTCCTTGGGTTGAGAGTTTCATAAAAGCTGTATTTATCCTCAAAAGAATTTTACCCGGACAAAACACTCACATGGGCATGAGGCCTGAGAAACCTGCCATCTGAATGGTGCCCTAATAACTTCTCCAAGTTCACCAAGTCAGGGAGTTGAACTCACATAGGCATATTCCTCACTGGGCTACCTTTCTTCTCTCTAGGAAATCTACATGTTTCCTTCTCAGTGTTGTTACCTTCAGTCCTGTTAACTTCTTTATAAATATTTTTCTGGATTTCTTTTATATTTCATTTTATTTTTTAGTTGCTGTAGTACTGAGAGGCCCAGAAAAGTGCAGGAGACCTAAAAAGGGATTATAATCATCCTAAACCACTGAGATGCAAGCACAAATGCTGGTAACTCCTTTGCTGTCTACAGCAAATGACTAAGAAATATTCTGTGGCTTATTATCGAGAAGTAAGGAGATTCTGTGACTTTCTGGACTTATGAAAAATAAATTACCATCAAGTCAAAACATAATTTAATGTAAATCATAGTTACTTGTGCACTGAGCTCAGCATTTGATTTAGAAAGCAATGAGCCATTATAGATTCTTGTCTTTTTGCTTTGACTTGAACAGAATACACCTATAATGATGAAGGTGACTGGTTTGCCCAAGGAGATGGATAATACCATTAAAAGGAACAGATGTGCTGTAAAGTTAAACAAGCAGCAGACATGTCATTGTGGTTTGAGTCAGATCCAGGATGCCAGTGGCTGTGGTTTTGTTGTAAGACAGTGGCATTTGGTTGGCTGCTGGTGGAGGTCTTCCCCAGTCCACAAAAAACAGTGCAGTGACCAGATCTTCTAACACCTTCTTCCTGCATGTAACATAATATTCAAGGTTAATATTCTTGGTTTAAAGTAGATACTTCTCCTCTTACACCCTTACCTTCATATCAAAGGACACACCTCTTCCTTATGGACAAAGCCCATAACTATTTCTTCCCCCATGCTGCCAAGCTGGTAGAATTTCAGATACTTTCCATCTGCTGGTTAAAAAGATGTCTAGCCCTGGCAATGGCAAAAGAGCTCTCCACAACATACTTGAAAGCATCCTAAAGGCTCAGTAAGGGAAAAGAGATACAGTAACATCCCATCCAAAACCTTCTATGTTGCAATGTTTAACTGAATCCCATGTGTCTTGGAGACAGGGATTACTCTATGTTATTTTTAATGTTAAGGGTTGGCAAACCTCCAGGCCCACATGACATATTTGGAAACATAAAACAAACAGGACAAAATCCATAAACAAACTACAGCAGTCTCTGGGGAAATAGGTCAACAGAAGTAACAAGACTTCTCTTAGATAGAGGATTAAAAAAAAAGACTCATGGAGGAGATGTGCTTTTCCTCATGGAATCAAGTGGCATGCTCAAATGGAAATAGGCAGACTGGCTAAGCAAAGGGTGTGATCTGGTGGCAGCCTCCCTCCCACTGCCCTACTGCCTTGGCCCCTCTTTTTGGTCCCAATGTCACCCTTATGGGTCCTTGTTCTGTTTACCTTTCTACCAGCCTGCCTGGTCCACATGTCTCCATCTCATGTGGCTGCTCCAGCCTCCTTGCTTTACCACCTCATCTTACAAGGCAACAGCTTCTGGGTAGTCTTCTACCCAGCACCAATATTTGACCCCAAGCTTTTTCCACATCATCCCTTTGGACCTACTATGGAGATCAGCCCAGCAGATAGCAAAGTGAAATGTATGTCCCAGTCCCACACACCTTCTTCAGAGGCTCTTCAGCATCTCTAACCCTAACCATTCCCCCACAGAAACACAAGTCATAAACTGGAAACAGTAGGAAATATAATAGTGGAGAAGTCTGATGAAAAACTGTGATTTCACTTGCCTATGCCCTGGATGACTGTCGCCCCACTCCCTCCTCCCCTCTCCTACAGGCAGGATTCCTCCCCATCAAGCAACTTCTTTCTCCCAGGCTCTTGATCCTTCAAATCGTATCTTCATCTTCCAAAAAGAATCAGTCTGGTGCACACATCTGACATGGAAATTTTCAGCCTGAATGGTTAGACTGAAGTTATATCTGAAAACTGGGTCTTCTGAAGTGTCAGACAACTTGAACAGGCAATGTTACCAGCTCTGCACTCAGTGCAGCTGAGTAGTTGCCACATTCAGTTAGACAGAGTTTTCCCAGTCAGCTGAACGAAACTCTCCTGTAGCAATTTTCAACAAGGTATTATTTTCACGTGATTTCTGATGGATCTGTTTACTGCAATGGCATTCATGATATCAAATGCAGTAATCAAATAATGTACGGTAAATTGTTATCACTGAAGGATTAATAGACATTGTTTCAAACTAAGTGGTCTTGTTAGTCCCATAGCTTTGGTCAGTTTTACTTACTTGACCTTTTCTCCTCATCTAGGTAGGTTTCTGGTTGTGACAGATGAGACATGAGATCTTCAGCTTCCAGGCTTTCAAGTTTTTCTTCAAGAGATTCACTATGGAATCGGTAAGAATAAGAAAGATATAAATAACTGCTTTAAAGGCTTAAAAGCAGAGCATGACCTAAGGAAAAAAAGCCTAAAAGGAACTGTTTTTGTCCTTTGTATTATCTGCCACTGGGTTTTTCCTTGGCTTAATGATGCTTTGGGTATTACTACAGTGGGTGTCTTTCAGATAAGGTATAACCTATTGATCATTCCAAGGGCCAAAAATTCCAACAAATCAGTAAATCCTTACCAAACACTGACTGTCTGAGCAAGTAAAGGAACAAACACTAACATTTATTATGTATTTTGCTTTGCTTTCATAGATTTCAAAGCTGGAAGAGGGGGGCAGGGTATAAAAAGGACACTAACTCTTTTCAACTCATCTAGATCTGGTAACTGATGTTGTTTTAACTGAAAACAACAAATCTCTGAGATCAGCCTGAAAAATCTATGGCAGATTTGTGCGGGGGCTTGAAAGAGGAGGGACTCTCTTTTTCTCGTGATGTAAAGTGCTGAATAGCACACAGTTGTCTAAATATGCTTTTGTTTATTCAGTCTCTGTATGGTGAGTGCTCTTGTTTTAAAGTTTTTACTGTGTTTCACTGAACCACTAAAAGCTACATTCAGATTGCTCTTACAACACCACTACTGATGCTTAAGGCTGAAGTTTTCTTTGTACCTGGTGCCCTGGCTGGAGCCGTCCTGGCACAGGTCACTGCTCCCTGCATGGCCATCACAGCAGTGTGGGACTTTCATCTTTTCTTCTTCCCTGGGGGAAACAGTTGACCATATTGCACTCCAGCTCAGCCAAGAGGGTGATTCACTGCTGCTGATCTTCTGAAAATGGAATAAATCTTCCTTTCATGCATTTGCTTTGTCACATGGCTACACATATTTTTCCTTTTTAAATCCATGATGACTTAAATAAGCAGAGTTCAGAAGTCAATCATCTTTGCAAAAATATGAAGCTATTAAGCTGAATGTTCCTATTTGATTCTGAAACAGCACTTAGGTTTTTATATACTACTGCTCCTATGTTTTCTTGGAGGAATAAAATAAAAAAAACACAACCACCAGCAAGCAAATAAGTAGTGGTAAGATCACTGAAATTCATGAATCCTGATTTCCTCTGGATTTGTCTCTTGCCTGCAGCTCCTGAGCTGGGATCAGTAATGCACCACAAAAATCATTAGAGGCAGGAGAGATGAGCAGTTGATGACCTTCTACTGTGGTCAGTGCAAAGCCAGTTAACTTAGGAAGCAGCAAGCTCAATTCCAGTGGTTAAAAAGTAGCAGCAAATGAGTAATCAGAGATAGTGGCTGCTGTGATGGACTTATGGACTGAAATTGTGCTTATTTCATTTAGCACCATATCAATATTGACCCAATGGAGATTAGGTCCATGCAGCAAGACCAGTTTCCAAAAGCTTCCAGATGGTTGTCTGCCATCCTGGGATTTAACAGAACCCGACAATTAAAACACTCAAATGTCTACTTTAAATGTTTACATTCAGACTTCGATTTTAAATTTGAGTAGTTTTTGCTTAATGAAAAGCTATTTAGCACTAAAGCAGGTATGCCTCAAATTATTTCAGGTCTTCTGTATTGTTAAACGTATTTATCTCCTTAATAAAACAAATAAACTCCCAAGACCCCACCAAAACCCAAGAGGTATCACTCCTGCACTGAAAATTTCCTATGCTAATTTCAGGTTTAAAGACTGGCCAATTGATGGATCCTTGAAAGTAGTGGCTTATGTGAGCGAAATACAGGTGTGCTAGTAAGTTCAGTGGTTGCAAGGGATTTTTTTATAACACCCAACATCTGCAGATTTATTTCCAGCATTTCCCTCATGAGATGCTATTTAGCGAAATAAGAAATGAAGTATGCTCAGTCAACACTGTAAGCCAGCTTTTGAACTTCAACTCAGTAGGCCCATACATGTGAACGTCTGCACGTGTATTAGAAAAGCTTGTGTAAAGCTACAAATGACTTCTGTGTGTCTATTTAACATGATGGGACTTCAGTCCCTTCTTTTCCACTAAATATGGTTTTAATGCTAATAAATTCATAATACAGAGGAAGAAAAAACCCTCACAAAATCAGATCTCTCTGCTATAGATTTTCACATCATGAACAACTAGTAGAAAGAGACCCTTTCCTTTACCTGCTAATCCTTTTTCTCTATCCAGTAAAATGCTGATTGTTTGGCCTAAGAGCCCTTTTCATCCTTCAGCTACTTTTTCTAAACTCTTACTATAAAACATATAAAAAAACCTTACTTCTGATGTAGCACTACTCAGCTGGAAAAGCCCAGTGTGCTTTCACCTAGAAAAATACATGTAATCGTCTACATTCCACAGATAGAGAAACGAAGCCCACAGAGATCAAATGCCATGTCACAGCCATGAGTGGCAGCTCAAGGACATGATCCCAGCTCTACAGAGCCTTTATTTTGTTCTTAAACTGCTTCCCAGGTTCATTTTGGCAGATGCATGCTGCCATCAGCACACATTTAGCAGCTTAGGTAGAAGCAGAGAAGTGCCTGGATAATGAGACAGCCGTATCATTTCCAGAAGGAAAGAGAAAATATTGAAATGTTTGCAGTGCGGGTTAAGGCTTTATTTCATTCTCCTTTTATTTTGGAGAGCTTGCTATGCCAGCTGCCCTGCAACATGTTCATTTCTGCAGTATCATTCTCTGATTTTAGTCACTGCTATCTCTCATATTAAAAAAAAAAAAAAGTATTCAGCTCCTATGATTCCTGCTTTGGAAGAGCTCTTATTTCTCTTGTTTCAATCAGAGTAGCCCTTCATGATAAATTGGCTTTATCTTGTGCTTTGCAATCCCACTGCATGGCCTGCTCTCATGCTAATGTGTCTGCTCTGTCCTTTCTAGCAAGCCTCCCAGGATCTGCTCAGGGTCAGGAATGTAAGTTAACCATGCACAGATTTCCCCTGTGCCCATCCTCACCAACACAGTCATGATGGATACTGCTGGCAGAGCAACCCCATGGGGTTGGCAGTCCTTGCACAACTGTCTCCATGAGTGATGAGCAGGCTCCCACCTGCACCTCGGGCAAGGGTTACATTTGCCAGAGTCTCCACTGACAGTTTTCTTATCCATCAACATTCCTAAGATTTTGACATCTTTAGAATACACAAAATATGGTCCTTGCAGAAGAATATAGAAGCATAGAATAGTTAGGGTTGGAAATGACTTTACGATCATCAAGTTCCAACCCCTCTGCCAGGGGCAGAGACACCTCACACTAAACCATATCACTCAAAGCTCTGTCCAACCTGGTCTTGAACACCACCAGGGATGGGGCATTCGCAACTTCGTTGGGCAACTCATTCCAGTGCCTCACCACCCTTACAGTAAAGAACTTCTTCCTTATATCCAATCTAAACTTCCTCTGTTTTATATTCTGTAGACATTTAAGGGCTGTATTTGAATCTGGTCTCTCCTGACATGCAGTATTACACTTCCTATGTCCTGAAGTAAGACTTCTTAAATGAGCATCTCTCACAAAAAAAAACCCTGGACAACAAAAACACTAAATTCAGCACACCTACAACAAAACCCAAAGCATGCCTTCTCTGCCCTGAGCTTGCTGATGCTTGCTGCTGGTGAGGATTTTGCTGGTTTTCTCTTTGGAGGATGCAGAGGTTGCAGTGTAACAGCCCCTTGCTTGTTGTTGTTACTGTGAGCCTGGAATGCCATTGCTTGTTTGTCTGAATGACTCTTGATACTGCATGACAAAACCAAAAAACAAAGGCAAAACTGAATCAGCAGATTAGTCAGCTTAATCTTGTGTAACTCAATGCTGCACTTCATTTTCAGTGCTGTTATTTTCAGCTGTCCTTTGAGATGGCTATTCGAGCTCACCTATCATTCTGCCAAGATACTTGCATGGAACATTCAAGTAAATAAGATGCAAAATATATAATTCAGTGGAATGTTTCTGATGTTTTGATTTAATCTTTTTCATTCGGTACACAGAGTGTTAAAAATGTAAGATCTTAATGTTACCAAAATGTCCTTTATAATGAGAACACAATGGGTTCTTTTTTTGTTATCATATTAATATTGAAAGAATGCAAAAAGCATCTTTTGTTAAAACCAATATTGCTACTGCTAAAAGGCTTTTAAACTAATACTGTAGTTTCTGAGGCAGTTGCTTATGTTTCCCTACCTAATTCTAAATACCAATAGAAGACAAATGCTCAGAGATGCCGGTATTAAAATTGAAATAAGCTGATCCTTCTATTCAAATCAGTCACAGCAGCAACACAAATTATTGATGCAGCTCATGTGGTTCATGAGCTGTATTGGTAGATGCTGTCACTTAAAAATACAGAATTGCAATCAGCATGTTTGCTGGATCTGGATTTTGGGTTTCTGAATGTACAGCGATACAATTTAGATAAGAACATTTTTCCTTGACTGGAAAGTTACCTGACTATTCTGTCCCAATAACACAACCATTTCAAAGATTTGTTTGCAAATGTCAAATCCAACAGCCTTCTTTCTCAAGCAGAAACACTTTGCAGTTTACCATATAACTTCCCTTGAAGCAAATTAGCACCAGTCAATGTGTGATGTAGGCTTCAATTTTTAAAATAGGCTTTGCTTTTTCCTTGTGAGTACATCATGCACTTATATGATATTAAAAGTGTAAACATGCTGCAGGTTAAAATATGTAGTTGTTACATTCCACACATGGCTCAGGTGGCCAATGGGACTGTTCTATGAGAGGAATCTATTCCTGAGATGGAACTGACTAAACATCTCCTGCTCAGGTACAAAGGGATGATGTTACATGTCCTTATATAAATGGGGTGAGTTTGTTTTTCAAAACAAAACTTTGAGAGTTCCGTTAACAAAAAAAGTTTATTGACTTTTAGCATAAGACACTCCAAAAACCAAAAGCCAAACTTACCCTGCTGAGATTCTTGTTGATTTGAAGCTCCTTTTAACCTCTAAGCCCAACATTCAACTCAAATGAGAAGAGTTGA